CAGCTACGGAAGGCCAGGGGCAGGAGGCCAGAGAGACTGACGACCAGCCCTGCATATAACTGGGTAGCCAAACTCAACTCTTCAGGGCTCCGGGCCCGGCTCAGAAGGTGGCCCAAAGCCTCAGGTCCACAGCTAGGCCGGGTATAGACAGAGAGCAGACCTAGGAGCTGGTGCTGCCAGAGGAATCTCTTCCGTTCCAATCGTAATGTCTCTCCACACAGCTCTCCGACATGGTTTCTTAGCGCATCTAGAAAGGGAACAGGGCGGGGGGGTGGGGATGGGCCCAGCACCCCTTCCCCAGGAGACCCTCCTCGATGATGGACAAGTTTTTGCAGGTGCAACAGAAGCAGCTGGATCAGCCGGTCACAGGCCTCACGTACAGTGTCTGGCACAGCCAGGCCCTGGGTGGTAATAACTGAGGCAGGCATGGCTGTGTCCACCAAGAACTGCAAGAGGCGGTAGGCGCCTGCCCCAGAGGCCTGGCTCACCAGGTGCACAGCCAGGTTCAGCATGTTGTCCAGCTCCTCTCGGGGGAATCCCTGAAGGTGTTGCTGCAGCTGGCTCAGCACAACTGGGGGTTTAAGGCAATCTACCAACTCTCCAGAGACTGTGCCCAGTAAAGCTGGTGACATGACTGCCAGCTGCAGTAGGAAAGGAACTGTGGCCTGAAGGGAGGGGTCCCCACTCCGGCCCCCAGTGCCCCCTGCCAGGCTATCATGAAACATTCGCAGGAGCTCCCGTCGTATGCTGTCTCCATGGCGGGAAGCCAGATGCCCTAGGATACCTACAACTGAGGCGATCTTAGGCACCCGTTTCTCCCCAGGGACAGCAGGAGATCCTGGGAAGGGGTCTGTAGAGGGCGTTTGAGAAGAGCTTCCACCACTGCCACCAGCAGCACCTCCAGCCCCGCTGTGAACACAAAAGTCCTTAAGGCCACAGGAGAGAACTCTGGAGATGATGGTGCCAGGAAAAGAGGAGCCAATGTGTGCCACAACCCAGTCGAAGTGTGGAGAATGCTGGACAGAGGTATCCAGCAAGGCATCCACGCAGGCATCCGGGCAACTACCAATGAGAGCCGAGAGGCATTGCACATAGATGTCCATTAATGTGCGTGTGGCCCGACAGCCCATCCACAGCTGAAGCAATTCGTTGAGAGAGCCAGTGGCGTGGGGCACACGCTGGTGCTGGCCTGAGTATGTGCTGCTCAGTTGCCCCATGAGGTCAATGGACCATGCACTGATCACAGGTGCCCAGGCCTTCGGGTTGGCCCGGATGAACTCAGACAGTACCTGCTGTACTTCCTGCACCACATCCTCTAGTCCAGGTCCCCCTGCAGGGACATGGGAGGGTAGGGGTGGACGAAGGTGAGGTGGGCCAGCCACAGGGCTTTCATCCAGGGTCGCCAGGTGAGCCCGGACACTCTCATCAAAGACCCCTCTCAAGTGGTCAAGCACAGCAGCCCGAGCAGGAGGCAGAGAGCGAAGCAGGAGAAGACCGCAGCGAGCATGTTCCCGGGCAGAGAGTTGGTGGCCTAGAATGGGGTCTACACCAGTCAGAAAAGCCTTGATCTCCTGGGACAGCTCCTGAGCACTGTAAGGAAGCAAAAGACTTAGACTTAGACTTAGAAGCAAAAGCAGACTTAGAATATTTGGAAGTTACATTCCTTCCGTGTATGTTCTTTTTATGTAAGAAAGAACTTACTGAGTACTTTTTTACTTCTTCCTATGTAAAGTAGGAATAACTGTCTCTCGTAAACACTTGATCACCATACCTAGTTCACACTAATCAACAAATGATAGCTCTGTTTCTTTCAATAATAATTATCAATGTCAGATAACTCTTAGAACGTGAGGTACTCTTTGAAGTACTCCATGTGTATTTCAACCCAGACAACAGCCCAATAAGGTAGGTTCTGTTATGATCCCATAGTAATCAGACTATCCAAGAGGGTAGCAACCACTTCTATGTTCTTCAGCATCGAATCTCCTTCTACTGAGGTGCCTGGTATATGGGAAGTACTCAATAATTCTTGGTAAGTGTATTTTGTGTTTCTATAACATGTTTTAAAAATACCTTTCCAGAGCTGCCCTGGTGGTGCAAGGGATTAAGTCTAAGCACTATGAAGCTATCTGCAGCCTCTGCAGCCTGAGTTCAATCCCCAGTCAGGGAGCTGACCCACATGGCGCAGTAGACCTCTCCTCTCTTGCCCGCTGCTCCCCTCAGCAGTGTATTTCAGTAGACCCACCACTCTATCTCTGGTGAATCCTCTCACCCCCTGCCTCTGGCCTACACCCCAGCTCTTGTATGCACAAATAAATATTAAAAAACAACAACTTTCCAGCTTCAGCACTCCCCATCCACCCCAACATTAACAACTTTTGCCCTTAGTAAAAAGAACATCCTACATGCAAACTTGTTTCTTATTAGAAATCCTCTCCAATACCTGTTTCTTCTCATATTCTGCAAGCATCCTAACCACCCACCATTTGGAATCTACCACATCAACAACCACCACCTTGCCAGTATCCTGGGTGTGCCTAGGAATCCAGGGCAAGGACAAGCTAATGCCTCCTTGGAACGCTCCTCCTCCCAAAACATGAGTCCAGTCTTAGAGGTTCAGAAGCCGGTGTTATGGAAAGAGGCAAAATCCCCTTTCTCTTAGTGCCTTTTCTGCCAAATAAGACCGCATCCTCTAGGGGCTGAAAGGATTCTGGCAGGGCTCTTTCTCCCTGGTTCCTCAAAAAATAAACAAACCACACACCCAAGGGTGAGGGGAGAGTCTCTGTTGAGGACAAGGAAAAGGCCAGAAAGAAGCAGTCTGTGGGTTTCTGGGTCTGCGTTCCGAGGGAGTTTTTATGAAGTCGGGGGTCCCTGGATGCCCTCGCGTCTAGAAGGAGCAGGGCAGCTGGTTCCCAAGAGTTTCGATATCCCCAACTGCTAGGAGAGCAAGGCCGGGGTCTGGAGAAACCAGGCACTAGGGCTTAAGGGGAGGCAGAACCGAGATCTTGCAGCGCGGGCACGGGAGCCCAGAGTTTTGGTAAGGTGTCCCCGAGTTCTGGGAAGACCCGACCAGGAATCTCCGAGAACCCTGACGCGAGTTCTCGAGGATCCGGGTTTCTGTCGAGAAGGTTGGGGATAGGCGCGGGGCCGCGCGGTAGGGGAAGATGCCAGGGGCTCTGACTACCTGAGCGGCGCGGGACCGTAGGTGGCAGGGGCAGGCCCGGGAGGCCCTGGGGCCCCGGGAGGGTCGCACAACGCGGACATCCCGGAGCCCTAGCCCGAGCCCGAGGCGGGAGCGGCGGATTCAGGCAGCGCATGCGCGCTGAAGGGAAACCCAAAAGGAACTAGCGACCAGGCCTCTCAGGAAAATTAATCCGGCGACGTCCGCTACCCTCGTACATTGGTTCCGCCCTTTGTCAGGGACCCAGAGCTGCGCTGCGAAAATGACAGCGGGAAGCCCACGCGCCCTCGACACGATCTTTTGGGGATTTTTTTCCTCCAAAGGGACATTGACACACAGACTAAAACCAGCCGCGATTTTTCATTGTTGTGGTTTTTTGTTTATTCCCAATGCCAAAAATGGTGGTTAACTCACTGAATTAAAAAAAAAAATGAATTACAAAGAAATATGTTTATCAACCCACAGTGACCCTGTAAAAAACAGTAAAAGGAGAGAAGGAAAGGGGAAAAGCGGAAAAGAGACAAAAGGAAAGAAGAGAAAATCCATTAGGAGAAGATGAAGAAGAGGCCAGGGAGGGAGGGAGAGGAAGCCCAAAATGAATTGGGGCGGTTGGGCTGAACGTGTCCTGTCACAAGCAGGCACTCCAGTCTTCCTGTCAGTCTCCATTGGTTAGGCTTTCCTCCTATTAGCGAAACCATGCCATATTTCTCTTTCCTTCTGACTTATTTCACTAAGCATAATCCCAACTCCATCCATGTTACTGCTAATGGCATAAGTTTATCTTCTTTATTCCTGAATAATATTCCATTGTGTATATACCATATCTTCTCCATACAGTCATCTGTTTTGGGGCCTTTAGGTTGTCTCCGTATCTTAGCTATTGTAAACAGTGCACTGCAGCTGTTTTACTTCCTAGCTGTGAAATTCACTTCCCTATGCCACTTTCCTCTTCTGGAAAGGAGGGTGGTGACAGTACAAATGCCTCACAGGGTTCTTGTGAAAATTGAAACCAAGCAGTATCCTTGGTATGTGCATAGCACCGAGTGTCCCCAGTGTAAATGCTCTAGAAGCATTAGCTATTTTTATGATATTTGTTGAATGAACTCCAGAAAATACTCTTTCTTTGGCCACAGAAACTTGGCCCATTTTGTGAAAAGTCACCTACAACAGTGTCTGCCTGGCACATAGTAGGTTTTTTTATTTTTTAAAGATTTATTTTATTTATACAAGAGCTGGGGTACAAGCCAGATGCACGGGAGGGTGACAGGGTTCACCAGAGACAGAGAGGGGAACAGAACAGGCAGACTGACGAAACACACTGCTGAGGGGAGCAGCAGAGGCGACAGGAGAGGCCTGCTCGCCATGTGGGTTGCTCTGACACCAGTGGGGATCAATGGGCACTGCAGAGGCTGCGGACAGCCTCACAGCGCTGCGCTCAACCACCTGCACCAACGGGGAGACCCAGTAGGTTCTTAATAGTTGATTCAATGTGGGCCTCCTCGGTGGCGCAGCTGGTTGAGCACAGCGTTGTGAGGCTGTGTGCACCCTACGCGGCACCTGTTCGATCCCTGGCCAGCCAGGAAGATTCCCACATGGCGTGGCAGACCTCTCATGTCTTGCTTGCTGCTCCCCTCAGCAGTGTATTTTGGTCCTTCTGCCTGTTCTGCTCCCTGCTCTGTCCCATGCCTCTGGCCTGTACCCCAGCTAAACAATAGTATAGTACAATACCATCATACAATAGTATATTTATACAATACTATTTATACAATAGTATAAATAAAAAATAAATCTTTAAAAAAAAAGAATTATTACTGGAGGGCCTCCCTGGTGGCACAAGGGTTTAAGTCTCAGCACTATGAAGCTATCTTCAGCCACTGTAGCATGAGTTTGATCCGCAGCCAGGGAGCTGACCCACATGGCGCAGCAGACCTCTCCTGTCTTCTCTGCTGCTCCCTTCAGCAGTGTATTTCAGCAGATCTGCTCCCCATTCTGTCTCTGGTGAATCATCTCACCTCTCTGCACTTCTGGCCTACACTCCAGCTCTTGTATGCATAAATAAATCTTAAAAAAAAAAATTACTGGAACAACTGAGAAGATCTGAACATGAAAAATTGGATACTAGTTAATTCACCAGTGTTAAATGTCTTAGGTGTGATAATATTTTGTCTATATAGAAGAATGTGCTTAGGGGATAAAAGCTCATCTGCAATGTATTTTCAAATGAGACCCTAAAGACAACAAAAATACACACTTACAGACATACACACATGCAAGTGTGTAGAGAGATATAAAACAAGTATAGCAAAATGTTAGGTTGCTAAATTCCAATAGCATGCATAAATAAGGATGTATTGTACTAATCTCTTTTAACATTACTGAAGATTTGAAACTGTTCAAAATATAAAGGACAATATTGGGCCCAAACCCTGCCTCTTCCAGGAAGCCTGCACTGATTAACTAGGGCTGGAGAACATGCTTTTCCCTTGTAGAACACGCCGTCTCATAAGTAGCTTTCATTTTAACCAAATATACCAGCCCTGGTTTCCAAGAAACAGAATTCTGAACATTAAAGGGAAAAATAATGTTTGGTCTTCACTTTATTAAAAATATACCCCAGCAAAGGAAGCAGACAAACATGACAAACATGACCTAAAGCCACTTGCCCACCTGCTCACATAGTGGCAGGGCTGATACCAGGACCCTCCCCTCCTCGGCCGCCCCTGCAGTAATCTCTATTTTTGTCAGACATGAAGAGCTCACTAGGAGTTGGGCAATCAGAGGCTGGCTTCTTGTTGCCTTTGTTCAACTCTAGTAAGCTCTGTGGCTCCTTTTCCCATGCCCCCAGACCCCTTTTCATGGGCTACCCCCATTCCTACATTTAATTACACACATCTTAGAGCACGCTCCAGGACTTTTTAAAATGGAGTTGGATACTAAGGAGGGCCCTCTCCATGTCTTTCTTTCCCACCTTCTCCCTCTCAATACATGCCCCAGCAGGTCACTAGGCCATCATGGAAGAGGGACTGTGAGAGGGCCGGCCTGTGCTCTCTCTAAAGTCCTCTGAACCACTGAGTCTTGCGGCCTCTGGTTAAGAATCTTCTGGAGGAAGGAGTGAGACACTTAGCTCTCCTCTTCAAGGTCTTCCATGTCCACATCCTGGGGGGCTTTTGTCTTCTTTTGTCTTTTGGGCTGTGGTTCACTAGTCCTGGCTGGCTGCAGGGGGGCTTCCACTGAGCAAAGGGAAAGAGGAAGTATTAACCCAAATGAATTCAGTTTGTCCCCTCAGCCCACCTGAGCCCCTGCTTCACCTTGCATGGCTGCTTTCTCTTTCTGGGCAAGCCGAATCTGCTGGAGGAGCTTCCTGCGCTTCTTCCCAGACAGAGTGATATTGGCACGTGCACTGGAACTGTAGGGCAGGTAGGAGCAATGATAAGTTGACCAGAATGGATCCAGGCCACACAAGTGTTTCTGACTATTGAAAAGATGTTTGGATTCTGATCACAGAGCCATTGAGAGGCAGCTCTCCTGCCTGCCAGTCACTGTGCAAGTGTCTCTCTTTTTCTTTCTCCTTTTCCTAATAAACCTGTCCTTTAAAAAAAAAAACAAAAAACCCAAAAACAAAGAGCCGTTGAGAATCTGGGCTCTAAGGTAGTGAGTTAAATCTCCCCAACATTTAGACACTAGTGTATTTTACTTGATACTAATCTCAGGACCTCCCTGGTGGTACGGGGGTTAATGTCTCAATGCTATTAAGCGTGAGCTCCATCCCCAGCCAGGGAGATAACCTACATGGCACAACTGACCTCTCCTGTCTCACCAGCTGGCTGCTACCCTCAGCAGTGTATCTCAGTAGATCTATTATGTACTCAAAAGGGGTTTCTTGGGCCTCCCCTGGTGGCGCCACCGGTTGTGGGCAGCACTGTGAAGCTGTCAGCAGCCTCTGCAGTGCGTGTTCCTCCCCGCCAGCCTGGGAGATACCCACATGGTGCAGCAGACCTCTCCTGTCTCACCCGCTGCTCCCCTCAGCAGTGCATTTCGGTCTGTCTGCCTGTTCTGTTCCCCGCTGTCGCTGGTGAATCCTCTCACCCTCCCGCGCTTCTGGCCTGTACCCTAGTTCTTGTATGCATGATTAAATAAATCTTTAAAAAAAAGGTGGGGTGTGGGTTCCTTATGAAATAAAACACTCCAGAAATTCCAAGAGTTTTTGGAAATCTGTGCCAGGATCCAGGAACGAAGACCAAATACACTTCATCATGAAGTTCCGGAAAGTCTGCTCCCCACTGTCCCTGGTGGGAAGTCCACTCCCTAGCCGAGGCGGGGAAAGGGACTTGGGGTGTGAGGTGCCGGTCCTGAGGGAAGCAGCGTGGGGCAGAAACAGCGTGGCGGCATGCACGAGGGGGGCAGGGTGGCTCGAGCGCCAAGGGGAAGAGGCCCGCACTCACGCCCGCTTCTTGAGGTGGTGCCGCGTCGTCAGCCCTTCGTCCACCACAGCCCCGACCACCCGGTGCTTCAGTCGCCGGTCGCGGCCCAACACCCGCCGCCTCTTGAACAGCTTCTTCTTCAGCTCCTGGGGGAGGGAAGGAGCCCATCAGACTACGCCCCGCGAGCCCTGACCCCCTACCCGGCGCCTCCGGCCCATCGACTCCATCCCAGGAAAGCTGAGCGGCTCGGGAAGCTCGGGGAAACACAGGCGGGGCTCCCACTCAGTCACCGTTCGGGGCCGGTTGATCTTCCCTCCGGGGCCCCCCATGAGCGCGCGGCCAGGGCTGCTCCGGGCCGCGTTTCCGCCGCGCGCAGACCGTGGAGGCCCCGCCCCTCGCGGGGCCCGCCCCTCCGCGACAGCCAATCGCAGCCCAGGGGCGGGGCCAGGGTATATAAAGTAGCTCGGCCGCGGCCTCCGTCTTTCGGGAGCCGCCGCCAGGTGAGCGCGTCGTGCGTCTGGGCCTCGAGGCCGGGCGGGGGTCCGGGTGGGGGTCCGGGTGGGGCCTGGGGTCCTCCATTTCTTGGCGGGTATCGGGCGTGCGGTCCCGCTCCCCGTAATGTACGGAGGCAGAGCGACAGGGCTGCGGCCCGCTCGGCGACATGTCTTCGGTGCCGGCGGCGGCCCGTCCGCCGGTTCTATCCTCAGGCGCCGAGACAGCCGTCCGCGGGGGAAGCCGCGCTGACCCGGTCGGCGGGCTCCTCCCGGGGCTGACGCGTCTCCTTTGATTTCAGGCCTTTGGAAACTCCTCGGGAGCCCGAGCTGTCGTTTCCCCACCCCCTCCACTTCCCGTTGCCTCCAATAAAGGCTGTTGGTGCCGTAGTGGCAGCGTGTCCGCGTCTTTCCTTGCGCCTCCGATGGCCGCTGCGCTGCGCCGAACCTTCCCGGTGGCGACCCTGGCGGCGGGGGCGCGCCGCACCTCGGCGGGCAGGAAACCCGGTGGGTTCTTTGCGGCCCGGGTGTCTGGTTCCTGAACTTGTGGCTCTTTAGACCCTAAGGGTACATTGCACCGTTTTTAGTTTGCAGCGGTGAGATAGGACTCAGGCGCCGCGTGACATCCCATCCCCCGTGTCCACAGGCTCCCTGGCCGATAGCTGTCTAGCCGATCGCCGCCTCTGGGATCAGCTACACGCCCACCCCCGTCTGGGTAGCGTCCCCACCTTCGACTGGTTCTTTGGATTTGAGGAAGCCCAGGGGCTCCTTATGCCGTTCCTGCAGGAAGCAAAGGCTGCCAGTCCCGCTAGGGTGCTGGACGTGGGCTGTGGCACCTCGAGCCTGTGTACAGGCCTTTACACCAAGTGTCCGCACCCGGTGGACGTGCTGGGGGTGGACTTCTCTCCCGTGGCTGTGGCTCACATGAACAGCCTCCTGGAGGGTAATCAAGACCAAAGACCTCTGTGCCCTGGGCACCCAGCCTCCCGCCTCCGCTTCATGCAGGCTGATGCCCAGAACCTGGAACCAGTGGCTTCCACAGGCTCCTTCCACCTCATTCTGGACAAGGGTACCTGGGATGCTGTTGCCCGGGGTGGTCTGCCTGGAGCTCACCAGCTGCTGTCAGAGTGCCTGAGGGTCCTGAGTCCCCAGGGGACCCTGATCCAGTTCTCAGATGAGGATCCTGATGTGCGATTGCCCTGCCTGGAGCAAGCTTCCCAGGGCTGGACTGTCTCCGTGCAGGAGCTGGGCCCTTTCAGGGGTATCACCTACTTTGCCTACTTGGTTCAAGGATCTCATTAAAGACTTTAGGGCAGGCCCTAGAGTTTCTATTGGATGGGGACAGAATGGAAAGAAGCCTTTGCATGGTGGCTAGAAAAATAAAGATATGATTTCTGGTATGTACTTTTACTTAGCTGGGTACATGCAACATTAGAAGTATCTATGTCCATTTCACTCATCTGTAAGGTAAGAATTATCCCTGCAGTTTAGGTGATTATATGCCACAATGAGTGAAATATTTAGCAGTGCCAGGCACAAGTTGTGCACTGAATCGACAAAGGTGCAAGTAGGTACTAACTGCAACTCCTAAAAGCAGCAGGTAGGGGTTCTTAAATGCCAGCACTGGCTGTGACCCAATGGCCTAACCTCAGCCTCATTTTTTCTTTTTTTAAGATTTATTTATTCATACAAGCGCTGGGTACAGTTAGAAGGACGGGAGGTGAGAGGATTCACCACCGCCAGAGCTGGGAACAGAACAGGCACACTCCTGAGGGGAGCAGCGGGCAGCAGATCTGCCCTCCATGTGGGACCCCCCCCCCCCCCCCCGCGGCCGGGGATTGAACTGGCGCTGCAGAGGCAACCCAGAGCTCAACCGCTGCGCCACCCGGGAGGCCCTCACCCTCATTTTTTCTCATCTGTAAAAGGGACAGACTGAAAAGATGGGTAGGAGGACTACCTGGGTTAAAGAGCCTTGAGGGAGATCTGGAGCCCAGTGGGTTCCAAGTCCAGCCTGGGGGGGCCAAGAATTAAAGAGTTCATGAACAATGAAAACTTCCTGGGGGGTCTCCCTGGTGGCACAAGGGGTTAAGCAACACACTATTACAATAGCTAAGCTATGGAAACCCAAATGCCCCTAAATAGATGACTGGATCGAGAAGATATGGTACATATACATAATGGAATATTACTCAGCAATCAAAAAGATAAACTCATGCAATTTGCAGCAACATGGATGGAGCTGGAAGGGATCATGCTCAGTGAAATAAGCCAGAAAGAAAAAAATACCAGATGGTCTCACTCATAGCAGGAATTTAGAAAACCTAAATAAGGGACCAGGAAAAAGACTGATTATAATAAAGTAAAAATCAACAAGCAACTATAAACCAAAGACACACTGAGGGAGAGTGGGGGAGGGTGTAGGATCAAAATAAGGGTAGTGGGGATTGTATGGGGACTATAACCAAGATAAAAATGCATACATTGTGCAAAAGTGAAAAATGATGTAAAAAATACATTAAAAATTTTTAAAGCCCTTTTAAAAATTGGGGAAAAAAAAAGAATGTAGGCCAAGGCCCATCCTTGCTACTCCCAGGCACAAGGGCCATGGGTGGTGGTTCTGAGAGGTCAGGTGGTTGAACACAGAATACCCCTGTCCAGGGAATTCCACGAACTGCGCCTTTAATCATCTTTGGCATCTGACCCCTTAATCATTTTTTAAAATATTTATTTATTTATGCATACAAGAACTGGGGCACAGGCTGCGCAGAGGATGACATGTTAGGAGATTAAGGGCCTTCCAGGGGAGGAGAAGATCCCAGTGGTGGGACCGCAGCTTTTACCCCCATGGCTCAGCGGACCTCTCCTGCCTCTCCCGCTGTTCCCCTCTGCAGTGTATCAGTCAACCAGCCTGTTCCCCACTCCATCCCTGATGAATCCTCTCGCCACCACCGCCCCCAACCTCTGGCCTGTTCTTGTAGCTCATAAATAAAAAAGGTTTTAAAAAATATATAAGACCCACAGCAACTACGAAAATACGCATTCTAGCATCACCACTCCGGAGTTCAAGACCACGGCACCGAGCTCGTCCTCTGTGCCTACTCCTTTTGACGCGCTTATCCGTCTAGCTAATTCTAGTCCACAGAGGCCGGCTTGGGCCCTCTCTAGCCCGGCGCCTTCTCTATGGTCGCGTCGGGTCGCTCTAGCCTGCGCTGGGGGCGGTGAGACGGCAGTGGCCACTCTAGGCTGCGGGAGGCTCCAGAGGGCGCCTCGCTGGTCGCGGGGTGGGCCATGGAGACCGCGCGCAAGGCGCTGATGGTGGGCATCCTTCTGGGCGCGGGGGCTTGCGTGGGCTCCACGCTCTTCGTTCTTGTCACTCCGGGCGAGCAGCGGAAGCAGGCGATGCTGAAGGTGGGGCAATTGGGGATCGCAGGTGGGGTGGGCGGGCGGTGAGCCCCGGGCTGGGGAACGGGACTGCGACCTTCCCGTCCTGCCAGCAGGAGATGCCGGAGCAGGACGCGCGGCGCAGGGACGAGTCGACCAGGACCAATCAGTTAGTGCTGGCCACTCTGCAGCAGGCGGCGGCCACGCAGGAGAACGTGGCCTGGAGGAAGAACTGGATGGGGGGCGGCGGCGGCGGGAGATCTGCGTGAGCCCTGAGCTGCCCGGAGGGCGCTGAGACCTCTGCTCCCGTGCAGAAGTGCGAGGCGGTCTTTTCTCCTGCGAGAGCCCATCCGGGAGTCCGGACTCTGCTTGCCGCGCCCTGCCTCGCCGGGGCTGGGGTAGCTGCCGCTGAATAAGCACCTTCCCCCCAAACCCTGCACTGACTGCGCCTAAATGTCCACGTCTTGGACCTAGACAACGGATGTGGCGAACTGCAGGAACTAATAAAAATGCCCTCTCATCCGGAGAGTGAACCCTACGGTGGGACATTTCTAAATGCCTGCAGTTTTCCCGGGGTCGGTGCGGTGCTTGGGGATGCCTGCGGCTACCACCCACCCTGCCCTCCACGAGAGGCTGAAGCCCACAGAGCCTTGTGGTCTGTAAGTTTGAGTGTACTTCCGGGGATAACCGAGCGACATTCTTGAAATACAACTCCCCTGAAAAACCGTGTCACAGCAGGTGCCCACGGAGGACACCTTGGGTTCCTGTCCTTAAGTGAGGTTGGAGAGGGACTTTTGAGCACAGGCCATGATGCCAGCTGTGGCTTTTGTGTGTGTGTGAGCCCCTCGCCGGCGGCTGGGGAACCAACCGGCACTGCAGAGGCTGCGCGCAACCTCGCAGCCCAGCGCTCAACCGCTGCGCCACCAGGGGGGGGACCAGCTGTGGCTGTTTTTTAATCACTTATGATTCAACAGGCTCAGAGAGGGGACTTGTTCTGAGGAGTGAAGGGAGGCAGCTTGGGGTCAGATCTTGATTCAACTGGTGTTCCAAGTCCTCTGAGCCTCAGTCCTGCTCTATCATAGGTGAGAATTAGGCACGTAAGGCTCTGCACCATCTGGCACTAAGCAGCAGCCTCTCAGTAAATGTAATGGGTTCTTTTCCCTCCAAGTTTTCACTCTTCCTTTCCACTCTGAATTGTCGTTAAGTCTTGGAGATGCTATTGAGGGAGATAAAGCTATCAGCAGGGTTGCAGACCTGCCCCAAGTCAATCAATTCACCTCTTCCTCTCTTGTTATATTGTGATTCCAAGCAAGACTGCAATGGGCACAGGGGGACAAGGCCGCTGTTATTAAATGAAGCCAGAACACTGAGATGGGAAACCAGGTATGAACCATGGGTGCTCTTGAAAACCCAAAAGCCATGGGTGCTGGGTGATGAAATCATGATTTGAGCACATTTGTTATGTATGATCTTTACAGTCACAGTGACTCTCCGCACCTGGGAACAAAAGGAAAGAGGTCAGCAGCTGCTTGAGGGAAGACCAGGAGGAGGTGATGGACAGTAGCCAGGAGCCCTACAGCCAGGCTCCTGTTTTCATCTGAGCAAGTCATAGGCTTTGGTGTCCCGGTCTCCAAAATGGGGACAACTGCACTTGAACCTGGATATTAGTGCCTTCATGTCAGCTAACACTCAAAGCACTTCAAACTGTGCGGTGCATATCAAGTGCTCATACTGTTTAGTGCAGAACAGAGAAGTTGTAAAGGCCACCTTAAAGTCTCAATGTTCATGAATGGCCACCACTAAAAAAATCTTAGTAGCTAATACTCTGGGGGCCTGTTAGGGGACAGGAACTGTGCTAATTAATAGCACAGCATTCTGTGCCCCCACAACCCTGTCAACAGGTACTATTATCCTATTTTACTGAAAAAGAAACTAAGCTTAAAGAAGTCAAGGCCACAGCTAGTCAGGATTTGGGGTCCCTCTGAGAAATACAAGGTGTATCCAATGTGGGGATTACCCCCCCACACTCCCAACCTCCCAAGCAACTAATCAGACCCAGAGATGAGAAACTCTGATGGAAATTTAAGGATAGAGTCAAATTTAAAAACCTTCCCTTTAGCTTCTCTGCCTTAGTTTTGTCCCTCCTAGCCACTCAGGAAAGGAGTCAGGCACATACAGAACTGAGAGGGTCTATTTATTAGGAAGGAGATGTCAGTGCTTTAACAAAGATGAAGAGGTCAGAGAGGGATGGTGGAAAAAAGGCCTCTCAGCTGGGACATTTCTTGGCCACAATGAGGACAGCAGAAGGCACAAGTCCTGAAGACAGAAGAAAGCAGCTGTGAGCCATAAACATATGTCCTTTTTTGCACACACCGGCCCCCCCTCCCCATCCCGATTCCTGACCTCACACCATCTCCATGAAGTCCCTTCTCTTAGTAACCCTTCTTTTCTCAGGCATGTCCCTCTACCCCCAAGTTCTGTTTCCGGTCCCACACGTCATACCCAGCTCCTGCAGAGGCCGCTCCATGTCGGCCTCTGAGAAGGCCCGCCGGGGGAAGCCACTGAGCAACTGCACAGGGTCCTGGCCCCCTCCAGGCTCCTCTCCTCGGTGCAGCTCCACATAGAGCCTCACAGCTGCCAGCTGCTCCCGGGCCCGGAATGTCTGGGTCAGTGAGGTCCCATCTGGCAGCCTGACCTACGGGGCAAGAGAGAGACAGTGTGTGTGAGTACCAAAAGTGAGCGAGACGCCCTAGTAAGGAGAAGGGCAAAGCGGGTTACTTCCGCTCAGACTGAAACAGCATGTTTACTATTTAAAGCATCTAATGAACAATCACTCAGGCTCTGCTTTGCTAAGCATTCCCAACTCCCTCATGATTTAAGGACAGAGACAAGATTACACAAAAATTCCTAAGTAAAAGCCACATCGTGTAAACAGCTGTGTAATACACCACATGAAAATGAACAAACAAAAGGTAAATGCTGAGTAAGAGGGAGATACGGATTTAAATAAGACACAGGCAAGTGAAATTTGATATCTATCCTATGAGTTGAGGAGGTAGGATTTCAAAAGTCACCTACAAAAAAGGAAGAGTTCTGGCAAAGGGAATATAACTGAAAAAAGTTGTGAGCCGGCGACCTTGTAGGTCAACAAAAGGGTGTTTAGGAGCAAGAAGGGAATTGGAGACAGTACCTGTATGCGACACTGGTCATACTCCCGCTTGGTGGGGGGCTCCTGGCTGGGAGAGGACGGAACAGGCCCTGGCTCTGTGGTTGGCGCGGATGACTGAGAACCCACACTCCCGCCATACTGAAGGACAAGCAAAAACACCTGCTCAGGTACTCCTCCACTCTTGGGAGACACACTGTAGAATCCCATCCTTTCCCTCTGACGCTGGAAAAGGAAATTTTCTAATAACCTTGCCCCCCCAATATCTTCTCCATCACCTACCTTCTTGGCTCTCTCTGCTTTGTCCCTTTCAATCTTTTCTCGAACTCTCTGTCTGGAAAGTAAACAAGAGGAAAGCAGGTCAGATGTTGACAGAAAAATTGTCATTCCCTTCTCATCTTTTATCCAACATCCTTATCATCCAGACCTGGCTGCTAACTCTTCAGCCTTTTCCCTTCTCCGCTCTTCAGCAGCCCGACGCATCTCATCTTCCTGTAGCTTCTGTCGTGCAGCTGACAACTCTTGCCCTTGTCTCCTGCGCTGCCGTTCCCGTTCCAATGCCTCCCGTTCCTCCCTCTCTTCGCGCTCCCGCTGCTTCTGAGCCACCAGCTCCAACATCCTGTGTGCCAGAAAGGAAAGCACTGGAGAAATGGGTGTGGATTGGGAAGGTGAACTTATCACATGGCACTCAGAAAACACAATCAGGGAAGGTGTCTCAAGACAAATGAAAGAAACAAAAAGGAAAACCCTAAGAAAGGGCAGAGGAAAGGAGGAAAACTCCAGATTTTTCTCCACCAGACTTGTGTACTGCAGAAAGGTGGAGGATGATGCTCAGAAATGTAAGACACCCTCACTATACCTCTTAGTCTGTTCCTGTTTTTCCTCTTCACTCAAAACGGGTTTGCCTTCTCCGGCTGCAGAACCAGGTCCTACAAACAAGTAGCCAGTATTATTACCCATTTCTCTCCTTCAGACCCTCCTGAATAATCACATTGCGTGCCTCGGTCAGGACCTTCAGGGCCGCTCTGCACTGAGGGGGTGGGTTCCCGTCCCAGGATATGTCCTAGGGGAGTCGCTAGAGGCTCGTCCACATCGGGGTCATCTTCATGCTCCATCAACCTGGGGGAAAGTCGGGCGGAAGGTTAACGCTGGGAATGGCCCTCCCAGCTGTTCCCAGGCCCCTGCCACCCGATCGAAGCGCTCACCAGTCCATCGCAGCCTCGATGCCCTGGTTCCCTGTGAGGGCCAGAGCCTTCTCCCTGGGGGCAGAAACACCGTGAATAGCGCCCCCGAGCCATGGGGACGGTCAGGCAAGGGCGCGGAGCTTGAGGCCAGGCTGGGGTCAAGGCCGGGACAGATCCGCGACCCCCGCGGCCCGGGGTGAGGGGCTCCCTTACGCGCGTCCCCTGGGGAAGCCCATCTCGATGAGACTCTCCAGGGCCGTCAGCTCCGCCATGGCGCCGCCGCCGCCGCTTCCGCGGGGACCTGGAGACGAGGGGAGCGGAGGGGGATCAGAGAAGGCGCCCCTGGCCCTTAGGCCAGCCCGCCCCCGACGTCCCGGGCCCGGCGCCGGCTCACTCACTCGGTCCTAGACCGGCCGCGGACACCGACGAGAAGAAAGCCGAGGGGAAGCGGAAGTGCCCGGATCTGTTTGGGTCACGTGGGTGCGGGCGTCGACGGGAGCCGCCGAGAGCCAGAAAACTGAGGCCCGGCTGCGCGCGGGTGGCTCAAGGCGGCGACCTCTCCGCTCCAGCAAGGACCCCTGGCGGCGGGGAAGCAACAAGGCCCTGAAACCCTGAGCGGGATGACTCCAGATCCTGATACAGCCTTTTTTTTGTGCAACCAGTTGGAAAGTCGTTTGCAATGTTTATGAGGAGTCACAGAAATGTGCACAATGTGACCCGCTCATCGTCCCCGGGCAGTGGAGCCACCCTCCGCTCTTCTGCCAAAGGGAGCGTTGCAAAACACACTATCTGAGCTTGTCATCACCACCCTGCTTAGAGCTCCATGACACCCCAATTACCAAGGAGGTAACAAATGCCATTAGTTTGCCTCCCTCTTGCCCCCTTTTTTATTAGAGCTCCATCTGTAAAGTGAGGGTAGCCATAGCACCTACCTACGCACGACTGTATTATGTAAATACTGGTAGTCATTGCGCAGTTTAGTGTCTCACCACTTGAGGGTAATTTGTATGTATTACCAAACAGGCTCTCGCCCCGCTTCCGGCCTTTGCATCTACCGGTCCCTCTGCCTGGGATGTCCTGCCTCTTCTGCGGGCTTGGTTAACTTCCAGTTATTTTTCCAGACTAGGTTCCAGTTTGCTTTCTAGGGGAATCCTATTTTGACCACCCCCTTTTCATTTTCCATCTCTAGTATGTGTCCCATTAAGTACGCATCCCCTTGCTGGGTTGATCCCTTAGCACTCCACCACTCCCTTGGCTGTTAGATCCCTAAAGGTAAAGTTCACTATAAATGTTTATTAGAAGGCAGAGTAATAAATTAATATGACATTGATAATATATGCACTGGAGACTCTTATATGATTAATTCATATTAAATCACAATAATCCATATGATGTAGATACTCACAGGAAACAGATGAGGTAATTAAGTCACAGAGCTGGTAAATACCAGAGCTAGATTCAAACTGGAGTAGTGTGCAAGTTTACCAAACCACTGTGCTAGGTTGTGAAGAACATCGGCTTTGGAGCTAGGTATCTTGGTCCCAAATCCAAACTCAATTCCTTTCTTGCAGCAGCAAAACTTTCAGAACCTTAAATTTGTCTCATCTGTGATAAGGTGATACCATGTCTTGGAATATTATTGTGAGATTAAGTGAAAGCATACAAAGCATATCTTTAATAAGGAGATAGCAGGCCATCATTATTTACAAATGAATAAATGCCAAGGAAATACAGGAGTCAAAGCAGAAAGCCGCAAAATATCCACTGCAGTGTGATAACTGGGGAAGCAATGCATTCTAAATTTCTTCTAGAAATCCCAAAAGAATCCTAAAAGAATGATGAAGCTCTATAGTACTGCCTCTTAGATTATGTAAGAACCCTATAGAAATACAGTGTTGGAGGTTGTGCACAGCAAACCCTGGAAACAAATATTCCAACCAAAAGCAATGACTAAAGTCAATTAAGGCACATTCTCCTTTGGAAAGCTAGACAGCCTTTAACATCACTAGGGATACCAGCATAGAACATTCGTGATATATGGAATGAGAAAACATTTGTATCACTTAGGGAAAGATCTGCTCTCTTAAAGGCAATTACAGCAGGAGGAGAATTTTCACTTTATACTTTTCAGTATTATTTGAAATCTGTGAGTTATTTTTATAATTTAAAAAAGTTACAAGACCAGTACAAGTGATAATTATACTTTGTAGCAACTTAAACACTTTTTCTATATGCAGTTGACTTCAAGACAAATTCAAAAGTACACTACCTGAAAAATAGGTGTATAGACAGGGAATTGAAAAGGATGTAATATTATTACTTTTTTTTCTTTTCACTAGCTAAAAAACACAAGCTTGTCCCAGACAACAGCTTGGACAATGCCTTTCTTCTCCAGTCATGGAGAAATGGCAGTCATTTCTTCCCACTCACCTCAGACACAGGTAGATTATGACTTAGGTGTGTGCAGACACAGCAACTAAACCAAAGGCAGAAGGAAAAAAAAGTGATCTCTGGCCCAAGGTCCACCCTGCAGAAGCTTAATTTCACCACTCCCCTAAAGCCACCCAGACTGGCAGTCCTCTGAGGCTGCATGATTAATAAACAGTCAAAGCGCTAAATCTGGCCCCCGAGTGAAAAATGGCTTTTACATTTTTTTTTTTAAAGAGGCATGTTTTTATTTATTTGTTTGTTTGTTTATACATGCACTGGGAACAGTCAGAAGCGCATGAGGGTGAGAGAATTCACCAGAGCCAGCGCGGGGAGCAGAGCAGGCAGAAGGACCAAAGGACACTGCTGAGGGGAGCAGCGGGCGGCAGGAGAGGTCTGCGCGCCATGCGGGACCCTCCCCCGGTGGCCGGGGAGCAGCCGGGGATCGAACCGGCGCCGCAGAGGTCGTGGGCAGCCTCGCAACCCAGCGCTCAACCGCTGCGCCACCGGGGAGGCCCAAGGCTTTTACATTTTTAAGTGGTTGGTGACATGCTTATATAAGTACCTCTATAAAACTTTCCATATTCTCCTCTGGAAATGCCGAGCCTAAATTATTTACTACCTGGGCCTTAAAAAAAAGAAAAGCCGACCTTTCTATCCCATCCTAAACATCAGGCCCTGAGCCCAAGCCCTGAGGTAGGTCTGAGACCTGCATGGGTTAGGGATCCAGACCCTGGAATCAGCCTGGCCTTGGGATCCGGTGGGAATGTGCAGGGCAACAGCTGGCCACCATCTCCTCTGGGATCCGGGTTCAGGAGCAGGAGCCCAGCAGCTTCAGAGCCTGGGGACTGCTCGGGCCTGGCGGCGAGGGCAGCCCCAGCGATCACGCAGGCAGAAGTGCCAAATCAGGGCTGAACAGGTCAACAGGGCCAGGGCTGTGCCCACCCCTGCGGCTGCGTGCACCAGGCTCAGGGGTCTGGGTGGCACCGTGAACTGGCTGCAGGGCCCGAAGGAAGGGCCTCCCACACCGTCGAGGCCCTGGCCAACTGCCCCGGGCACGCTGCTTTCTCCAGCCCCGTTAGCGGCGACCACACACACGACGTAAGAGCCACCAGGCTTCAGTCCTGTCAGTTCTGCTCTGCGGAAGGTTGAGTTGAGGGGGGGGCTCTTCTGGGGAGCCCCGCTGCCTGGCCAGAGCAGCAGCCAGTACTGGTGAACCGGGGAGGAAGGCGCACACCAGTGCACCACCGCCAGGCTGTCCTCCGCCACCAGGCGCACTTCACCCAGGCGCGGCTGCTCTGGTGGCAGGTCTGGGCTGGAGAGTCCAGGGCACAGGCAGGCCGTTGGGCTGGCCCTCTGCAGCTCCTTGCAGGGCACCTGCAGGTGGCGGCAGCGGTCGTAGTCACAGGGCATGGAGGGTAAAGGTGTCTCGTCTTCCTCCTCCTCTTCCTCCAAGTTCCCAGGGGCCAAGGGCTGTGCTTGGGGAACCAAGAAGGTGACTGCCAAGAGCCCTAGAAGGCAGGGAGAGCCCAACATGGAGTCTGGAAGGGAAAGTGGCGGATTGGTAAAGACAGCTAGGCCCTGACACCTCCTAGGCCTCTTCCCTCAACAAAACCTCTAGAGACCGAAACACAACTAGGGACCCAGAAGGGACAGACACTCAGTTTGTCCACCGGCTTCCGATCTGGCTACATGCTTGGTTTCATGCAAAAATTAATCAATTACGGTCTGACAGAAGACAGATGTGTGAGCAACCCAGATCCAAGAACTCCAAACAGTTAATGAATAAACAGAGTACTGAGGTGAGGAGGAAATAAAAATGATTTACCCAGTCCAGGGAAGAAAGGTGGAATAATTCCGAGCTGCCGCCCAGAGAAAAGATCTAAGAGAACTAACTATAAATCAGCAACACAAGCGAAAACCCAGGAAGCAGAGTAAGAAAGAAGGGATGGCGCGAACACAGGGAAGGGGGACCCAGAATCGCTACTCCCCACCTACAGGAGTCCTCACTCCCACTCCGCCCCCACCCCAGCAGCCCCTCACCAGCGGGGAGGGGGAGGCCTTGATGCAGTGGGAAACGTCTGCCAGAGTCTGCGAGGATCGGGTTGAGGGGTCCCCAGGAGCACAGGCTGCGCCGTTAAGTTTTGTCAATGTCTTCAGTTTCACTTGTTTTGGCTCAAAGCTTTTATGCCCTTGGACCTATGATAGCACCACCTAGTCCCCCTCCCCGTAGTGCTGAGAAGAGGGCTGGGTCCTTGGAAGGCCTGAGTCATGGGGCCAGGGATGGGGAAGCCACAGGCATTACTTTCAGCTGGAGGCCAGGACGCCTGGGTTCTGGAAGGGGATTGGAATGTGGAAAGCAGCCAGGAACAGACGATGCAGGCTGAAGTCATGCGAAGGGACGAGGAGGGGAAGGAGGGCAGAGGGCCACCTGGCTGGTATCAGGGAGGAAAACAGCTGTGTGCAGCATGGGGCCTGGCTTGCAAAATGCTGTTTTGGTAAAAACCATACCACGTCCCTGGCAGTCATTTCCTGTCTTCTGCCTCCCAATGGACAGAGAAAGGGAGGGGTACTGGCCCGGGATGATGTATCCGCTCTGCAGACCCGCCCTACACGATCCCCCTCTCCAGAGGGAGATGAGATGAGAGTCACGCGCAGAGAGTGGGCAGGCAGGTTTCCTCCCCTTGGCCTAGCCCAGGCTAGGGAATGGAAAGAGCTGTGCCGAAAATAGTCCCGGCTCCAGAGGTCCGCCTGCTATAGCCCCTGCAAGAAACCTCTTCAGACTGGGGCCAGGGGGTGCCTGGGGGCACAGGCTGGCAAGTAACAGAGTTTTCAAATAGATTTCAAAGAGTCAGGGAAGTAGCTGGCACGAAAATAGTTTATTGGGGAGAAGAAGGGGATGGGAGAGGGAGCAGATGGGAGAGGGCTGGAATGTGGGGGCTCTGCCCATTCTCTTTAGGAACTGGAGCAGGTAGAGCGCTGGCGGAGAGTGCCCCCCGCAGGTTCAGCGCTGCCCACAGTCTCAGGGGCCGGGGCCGGGGCTGGGGCAGGGGCAGGGGCAGCAGCAGCGGCGGCAGCAGCCAGGTTGGCCTCCGTCAGCAGAGCGGCATCTTCCCAGGATCCTGAGCCTGGGCCAGGGGGCGAAAAAACAAAATCCCCAATGGAAATGAGCTCACACGTCCTCTCCCTACCCACGTCACCCGTCACCCAACCTGCCTGGACGAGGTGCCCCTCACCATCACTGGCCTCTGGTTCGAGCTCCTCCTCGCCATTCAGGGGCTGCTGATCAGGTTTCTCCTCCTCAGACAGCTGCCCCTCTGTGGCCACAAAGGAACACAGAGGTCAGCCGGGAAGGGCTCCTGGGCACGGGTAGGAGGGGCCAGCACTGTTGCTCCCAACCTACCTGCCCCGGAGGGATCATCCGGGCCCTCACCATCCTCCGCGATGTCCGACAGCTGGTTTGGCTCCTCCTGGCCTTGGGGTCCTATGTCTCCCAAGGGAGGAGAAGACAGGGCAGGGCTAGGGTGGCCTTGCCTGGAGGCCTGCACGGCAGTGCCAGCTTCACCTCCATCAGACTGGGGCCTCAGCTCAGTGCGTGAGTGCCTCAAGCCTCAGACTGGAAGAAGCAGGGCAGCAGGAGCACCCAGGCCCCAACCACCACTTTTACCTGGCGGAGGGGCAGGGATCCTTCGCTGGCCTTCCCTTCTGTCTCTCCTCCGGATATTAACCTGTGCGGCAGAAACCAATGAGCAGCGAGGACTAGCCACCCTCGCCAGTGAGCAGGGCCCCCCGCCCTAGGCCCTGGTGGTCCCAGCCCCCTCCACAACCAGAGGAGGGTCACGGAGGGCAAAGGGGCTTTTCGTGTGACCTGCAAAGAGAAGCGGTGGCGGGGCCAGAGGCCGCCCCACACCCACTGCATGTAGCTGAACAGCACAATGACGCTGAGGAAGGTGAAGTTGCTGGCGACCCCCACGAAGGCGCAGGTCATCGGGAAGTTGTAGAGCAGGTACCTGAGGCAGGAAGTAGGGACAGGGCAGTACAGCAGTTACCAGGGCGCACCGGCCTTCTTGTTTCCCAGGAACACTCCCTAGGCCAATTCAAGAGGCTTTTGGTAGAGCTGGCCTCCCCTCCTTCTTCCCAGACAGCGAGGGGAGCCCAGCGCCCTAAAGGGGCTGCCTGGCCCACTAGGCTCTCACAAAGGCCAAGGACCTATGGGCAGTCCCCACTCCGCAGGACCGCAGACTCCCTTTATGCTGTCCCTCCTGAGCCACCCCCATTCCTGCTGAGCCAATGGTTCAAGATAGTAGTTCTCAACCCTGGCTGCACATCAGCATTCCCTGGGGTGCTTTCTCAAAGTCTGACATCCAGGTATGAACTAATGATGGTCCAGGTGGTCTGGGGAGAGGGCCCAGGCCTCAGTGGATTTTTAAAGTTCCCAAGGAGCCGATACGCTGATTGGAAACCCGCGGTGGATGTTAAACCTGTTACCTCTGCTTAGGACGCTTCAGACTCATCAGTGGTTCCTCACCTGAGCCCAGTGAAGTGGGCGTGGATGCGCAGGTAGGCCGCATACATCTGGATGCGCTTGCTGTGGATCTCAATAATCGCTCCGGTGGTCGGCACATACTGGGGGTGGGGGAGGACAGATCAGGCCAGGGCCCTGCTGCGGTCAGCCTTACCAGCTCAATCTGAGACCCGCTTCCTGCCTGACTGTTGCTGTCCCTCGGGGCCACACGCAGAGGCTCTGGGTTTGCAGGGACGGCTGTCTCCGAGCCACCCTTCTCTTCACCCCCTTACCGAGTTCTCTCTGTATTCTGGGTATAGCTCCACCTCCAGGAGCTGCTTCTGCTCTGCAAAGCCAAACAGGAGGAGGCTAGAGAAGACCAGCGTGTCCAGCATCTGGAGCAGGCTTGAGCGGTAATGCAGCATCACCTGGCGGGGCCGGGACAGAGACGCTGGCAACAGGTACGTCCAGGTTCCCAAGGTTCTAGCCACCCCTCGAGCACCCATGGTGGTCTCTGAAGGCCGCTTCTTCCTCAGCTCCCCTACTCCTTCCATTTCACTTCCTACACCCCATCCCCACCCACTGCAAATACTTGAACAACATCCCTGCCCCATTCAACCACAGGTCTCCATTTCAGTACAAAGGCCTCTCTCCCAAGAGGCCATCGTAGGTTAAGCCCACCATCATCTCTGATCTACCTTCCCCCAAGTACTTCTAAAATACAGAGTAGACTGTTAAATTCCTATACTGAAGCTTTTAGCTCCATGTCTGTATGTTCAAGGGTTTGCTTTATGATGCAGTTATGTACATAGTTTGTGCAAGAATGGAGTCTGATGTTAACTAAACACCTACTATGTGCTAGCAAGCACTTTCCTCATTGACTGCAAACTGACCTTGCTATGAGGATTTATGATTATACCTGTTGGTAAAACTTCACGACCAAGGGGCTAAGTACATTGTCCCTCAGCTGGTGTGTTTCTGAGTGAGGATTCTAGTCAAGCTCTGTCTGGCTCCAGGATTCCCCTGTTTTCAGAGTAGCTTTACTCCTTAGACCATACCCCAAAGATGGGCATGCTCAGGGGCTATCTGGGAGAGTTTGTCTAGTTTAACAAACTGACTCCTCTACTCTGATGTGAAGTCAGAGCTAGGATGCTTAATCCTAAACCCTATCCGGGCGTTCTGACACCAGTCATCCTTCTCCACACCCTCCCAGGCAGGCCGTGAACACTTACGGAACGCGAAGCAGTAGAGATGATTCGACCACCTCGGGTGTAGCAAGAAATGGTGACCAAGAACATACCCAAGTCTTGATTCACGGGGGATTCTGGCAGCTCAAGCTCCAAGGTGACCCGGTACGGCTGTCCATACATCAGCACCTGCCCGAGGGAGCCCCCACCTCTTTTCATAACATTTTTTGAACATTGTGCTGTCCCTGTTGCCTTTCCCTTTACCCCTTCAAACATTTTGCCACAACCCCCTGGTTATTCTAACAGGCCTCTCCATTTCTCTCATCCTGAGACAGTGCTGCCCCCTACTGGCGGCCAGATCCCTCCCAGTTAAGAGCTCCCTATCCCTTGGCTCTTGATGCTCTGTTCTGAGAAAAGCTGTGTCACATTTCCTTTCCAAAAGTGAACCATCCTGTTGCCAAGTGGGCCATCTGTGACTCAGGCCTGTGTCCCCGTGAGGCCGTCCTCCCGGGCCTAGCCTGTCTTCACGGACATTATTAATTAACCCAGTGGCAGACGCGCTCCCCACCTCCCCGCCAGCTCTCACACAGTCATTGTGGCTCCAGATCATCTCCGGGCCTGGGTCCCTCATCTCGGTTCTGGTGGTGGCCCTGGGACTCGAGTGGGAAGGCCTCTTCACTAGGATTGACCTCAACGTTTTGAACATTTGCCATCAAACATGCCCTAGTTTCCCCTGATCATTCCTCTATTGCTTGAATTCTTTATTCAATGACTCTTATCCTGCAGCATGTCAGAATCACAGGGGGATGGTAAAGCCTTTGTGTTTAAACAAAGAGATAATAGCTACAAAACAAACAAACAAAAATGGTGAAAAACCTTGCCTTAGCCCACAGTGAGGCAACTCCCAGATCTGTATGGCTGTGAGGGTACTTTGGGCATTTTATCAAGAGGGCACAATGGAAAACTATTTATCCAAACCTTATCTTTACAGAAACTCTTATTTTCTTCAGCCTGAATTATTTGATTCCACGAGGTTCCTACCCCTCTGTAAAGACCACGAGTCTAAGTCAGTCGCTTCATTGAATTCTTTGAAACATTGAAATGGGTAGTTCCCTGGGTGGTACCTTTGAGAGAAATGGGAAGTGACTGCTAATGGATGGGCATGGCTTTCTTCTTGGAGTGATGACAATGTTTGAAAATTGGTGGTGGTGATGATTGTCCAACTCTATGAATAGACCAAAAGCGAGTGAACTGTACATTTTAAATGGGTGCACTGTATTGTATAGACACTTTTTAAGATTTATTTATACAAGAACTGGGGTATAGGCCAGAGGCGCGGGAGGATGAGATAATTCACCGGAGACAGAGTGGGGAGCAGAACAGGCAGACGGACCAAAGACACTACTGAGTGGAGCAGCGGGCGAGACAGGAGAGATCTTCCATGCCATGTGGGAATCTCCCTGGCCGGCCAGTAATCGAACCCGCACTGCAGAGGCTGCGGACAGCCTCACAGCGCCGTGCTCAACTCGCTGCGCCACCAGGGAGGCCCAATATTTACATATTTAAATACATCTTTGTGTGTGTGTATTTTTTTTTTTGAACTAGTAATTCTGTTTAAATAAATAACATCTCCTCCAAAAGGCTACTAGGATGCTAACATCAGAATCTGCTGAGGAGAGCAGTGGGCACGACAGGAGAGGTCTGCTGCGCCATGTCGGTTGCTCCCTGGTCGGCCAGGGATTGAACTCATGCTGCAGAGGCTGCAGATTGCTTCATAGTGCGGTGCTTAACCCCTGGTGCCACCAGGGAGGCCCAGTGCCTGATTATTTCTATCCTGTGTTTTCTATTTTGACATCAGTGTCCTCTAAAGTATCACTTTTTTTTTTTTTTTTTTATAATTTCTGTCATCTGGTAATGGCATGAGGGTAGTCAAAACAATATGAACAAATGTTTCTGAACTATTTTCCCAACAAAGGACACCTAAAAAACAACTGTTTTGCCTTCTCAACAATTCCTCACTTCATCAATCATTTCTAGTTGGAAACACTTTGGCGCATGATCCTATTATCAAGAGCTAGAATGTTTTAGAATGAATCTCTTCTACATCATCTAATATGAGGTTCACATAGTCATCAAAACCCATGATACAGCCCTCCGTCCACATATTCATCTGCTTCTAAAGCCCCACCTGAATCAAGATTGACCCTGTAAGGGCCTCCCTGGTGGCACAAGGGGTTAAGACTTCAGCACTATGAAGCTACCCGCAGCCACTGTGGCATGAATTTGATCCCCGGCCAGGGAGCTGATCCACATGGCGCAGCAGACCTCTCCCATCTCCCCGCTGTTCCCCTCAGCAGTGTATTTCAGTAGATCCACCTGTTCTGTTCCCCACTCTGTCCCTGGTGAATCCTCTCACCCCTGCATCTCTGGCCTGCACCCCAGCTCTTGTATGCATAAATAAATAAATCTTAAAAAAAAAAAAGATTGACCCTACAAGTATCTGAAGATGAGGCTGATGGGCTGAACCATCACCTTCTGCATTTTTTGGCCCTGGTCCCAGGATGCCACTATGGAAGCTCACAAGGGCCACACTAACCCACACATTGGCTCAGAAGCAACTTCCGGAACCCATTGTTGAAAATAACTTTCAAATGATATTTAAATTCTTAGTAAGTCTGCCCAGTGAGTACTGCTGACTCACAACTCAAAAACCTCTTGTGGATCAGAAATGATGTTGCTTCTTCAAGGCTGTATAGGGAGCCTCCCCTTTCAGAGCCTCCAGTAACTTGTCTAGTACAGAAGGCTGCATTCCCATTCTGCATTTCTCAGGGTTCCAGGTTTGTTTGTTTTAGTCATGCTGGTATCCGGCTAGTCCTCTGGCACAGTAGCCTTTGTAATGACAAGTCACACCTGTCAGCCAAGAGTTTCACAATTTTATATGCAAGCTTTCAAAACTCTTGGATGGATTTTATCCTACTCCAGTGAAATATCTGACGAAACACACTCATCTCGTAGATATGGCCTGGCTGGACAATTTAAGAAGAACACTGCTAACATCTGCTGCAGGAAAGAATAATCCATGCAACTTGTTTACACTTTTACTTTAAGCTTCCTCTTCTCTCATACTCACCCGATCACGTCCAGTCTTAGCCAGCGAGACATTGGCAACAGGAAATGAGCAGAGTAAAGAGGAGGAGTCGCAGTCGGTCCTAAATGAGAACGGGGATGACACTCTGCTAAGTCATAAAGTTGGCCTCACCTGCCATACCTCGCTGGCCTCCTTCCTGTCCTGCCTTCCTTCTCCCAGAACAGGCCCCCTTCTTTCTGGTAGAGAGAGGGAGAGGAACTGCAGCCAGGAGATTTAACCAACATGATTCTTTTGTTTTCTTCCAGCTAGTTCTGCTTATTTCTTCTCACCGGAGCAGATATTCTTAAATGGGAATCTATGGTTGAATGGTTAGCTGAACAGTTATTTTTCAATATTTTAATTAATTCATTTATTTATTTTTAACTAAGGTAATATTTGCATACCCCCATCAGGTATTACTACCATAGTGCACCCACCACCCATCACCATAGTCCACCACGCTTCACTCCCTCATTCTCACTCCTCTCCCCCAGACTTGAGTGTTTTCAAAGACTCACTTGGTGACCTTGATAAAAATGTAGATTCCTGTGCCCCACCCCTAGAGACTCTGATCTGCTCTGGTCTGGGGTCTAGTATGAGAAAGCTCCTCCAAAGGGATCCACAGATGATCTTTAAGAGGCTCATGAACCCCCTCAAATTGTAGGCAAAAATGCACATGGGTGTGTGTATGCAGCACATACATGGACATGCAGGTACATTTTTATGGCAGGAAGGACAAAGCTCTCATTTTAGGAGAACCATGCCTCCTAAAAGTTTAAGAGGCTATGTCTTACAAATTACAGCACATGACCAGGGCCTCAGGGCATAGGAAAAAAAGACTTTGGGTCACTGGTAATAACACCCTTATCAATCTGTCTTGATTGCTCCTATAGCCATTGTTAAGAAAACAGAAAAACTTGGCAGGGTTTGCAAAATGGGAAGGAACGGAAGGTCCAGGAAAGAGGCAGGGCTCTGAGAAATCACTCAGGCACCCCAGGCAACTGGAAGTTCTGGGTCTGTACTGTGCCGGAGTAGAGACGGCACCAGTAAAAGTAGCGCACAAGGTAAAGCTCTCCTTTCCCAAGACCTCCTCTCCTGGAGGGCAGGTTAGCTCTGAGATGACACAGGGATTGGGTTTGCTTGAGTGTCTAGTGGTCCAACCAAAGATCTGCTCCAACCCAAACAGAACTGACCCTCATAAGGGCAGTCCAGAAGAGGAAACTTCACCCTTCCTTTCAGTAACCAGAGGTACAGCAGGACCCTAGAGACCTGCCAGCGCAGGTTTCCTCCAGCCTGGGGCTGTGAGAGGTAAGAAGTCATATAGACCACTATATTCAACATTCTCCTGAAACTGGGGTTTCCCCCAAACAAACTCTCAGGGCCCTGTAGCAGTTCTCTCACACAATTCCTCTACTTTGATAGAAACCACTCTCACCTGTAGTAGAAATTCACTGGGCTGAGGTGGCTGACTGTCGGCATGTAGGAATAGTAGAAGGAGCCGTAGAGGAAAACAGACACCCAGAGCAGGAGGAGGATGGTACAGAAGAGCACCCCAAACTGCAGCAGCAGCTTGCGGGCACGGCCTGCCAGGACATGGCCTACCTCCTGGGCCCACAGTAAGGCAGGTACTGGTGGGTCACCAACCATGGCAGGCTGTCCAGGGGCTCTGGCCCCAGGCTCAGGTCTTGCATTCCTAGCAGCTCTGCCACCTGGACGCCACCCCTGGCCATGGGGTGAAGCAGCTGGGGGTTCCTGGAAAAGGACAGAGAGGGAGAAAGAATGGTTCCTCTCTGGGGGGAGGTGGAGACAAAAAGGATAAGCTTGCTGGATAGGCTTTGAGGAACCAGAGTTAGCAGGACACAGCAAAGTCTTTGTTTCATGTGGCCTTTCTCCAAATGATTGCTTCCTCAGTCAACTATCCATGCCCCTTCCTCCGTTGTGATCTCTGGGTCCCCCATGCCAGACATCCTCAGTTGAAGTCATCCTTAGGCCACTTGATTCTGGGCCAGGCCACCGTGATACTCATCCACCGCAATACTTAACAGAGGAAGAGCACCTCAAAATTCTTACAAGGCGCTTTACACGTACGTGACACCGAATCCAGACTGCCAGGTGATTGCACGGAGAGAAGGCGTGACTCGCCTAAGGTTGCACGACCTGGCTCAAAGCCAGCAGCCCAGGCGCAGGCCCAACAGCCCCCCACGATTCTCCACTGCGTCTCCAGCAGCGCTCCCCGACCGAGCGGCATCCTTTGTCAGGCAGCGCACCCTGCAGGACCCCGCCGCTCTCCGCCAGCCCCTGCGGCTCGGCTGTCGGCTCGGCGCCCAGGGCCCCCACCTAGTCGCGCCACCATGGAAACCAGCCCGCCGGCCGCCGCGGCTTCGCGGACTCACCAGCTTAGCGCGCTGCCGGGGCAACGGGGAAGGGACTTCCGCCTCCTGGCCAGTCCCGCCCACTTCCGCCCAGCGCCTTTATAGCCCAGGGCAGGGGCCCAGCGGGGGCGGGGCCGGGGCCCAGCGGGGGCGGGGCCGGGGCCCAGCGGGGGCGGGGCCGGGGCCCAGCGGGGGCGGGGCCGGAGCCGGGCTGCGGGGTTCCCCGCCTCCTCCTGCTAGCCTCGGGCCCTCCCTTTGGTCCATTACCCTCCCCGTTTCCAGGACCAAAGGGGGCAGGCCCCTCCCTTCGGTTCCCCAAATATGCCCCAGGGCGTGTTGTAAGCAGCAGCGTCCCCTCGAGGCTGCCTTCCGCTCACACTTTCAGCACCGGCCTTAAATGACCACCCCCCCAAAAAAAGAGGGGGGCAAAGACGCTGAATCCAGCTAGCGCTGATTTTTATGGCCGACGCGGCCCCTGGGCCCCGTAGGCGTCCCACGGGGCGTGCGCGCGCCCCGAGAATGTTGCAGGCGGCGGGAAGCTGCGCAGCTTGCTTGCGGCGCCTGCGGGCAGGCTGGCCTTTCCGCGTTCCTAAAATGTGTAGCATTTCAGCTCCGAGTTTGGTGTCCTGCTCTTCTGATGCGTGATCGACTTCCTCTCCCTTAGATTCCCTACAACGCATCACCTTGGCAGGCGGGTGGCACCTGCCATTTTGTCTATAGTTTTTCACCCCAAAAAAGATCCCTCAGAGGGTGAGATCAGCGTTGTGTACGTCTTTGCATCCCCCACCCCACCGAGCACAACGCTGCAGGTGTGTGTGTGTGGAGGGGGATCTCTTAAACCGAACCTCCCACCCCACCCAGGCAGGCCGTCTATTTCCAGAATCATCCACTGACTATCCCCCCAAATGCTCCCTACCTCCTCTTTGTCCGATCCTTTGATCTGGTCTCCGCATGACTCTTTCGCTCCAGCTTCACCTTCTTCTCTTTGGTCTGCCATTTCTTTAGACATCTCCCTGACGTACCTCGCTGCCCCTGGATCGTCCACTCGAGTCACTTGTGGCTAGACCATGAAGTGGTGATCTAGAAGCTGAGACCTGTAGCTCGTCACATTTTCCTGGGTCTGAGGAATGGAGGGTCCCTGGGAGAGAAACGAAGATTCAGGTGCTAAATGCTGTGTCAGTGTAGAGGGAGGAGGGGAGGAGGGGGGCGACTGCCCAGCTGATGTCAGATTTTCAAATGAGCAGGGTCCCCCGCAGCCAGTACAGTCTTCACTGCAGGGGCTGTCACAGGTCCAGACCACCCCATCTGAAGGGGGAGTCGGCCTGGCCTCAGCTCCTTCCACCTCCTTTCCGGGAAAGCTCTAGCCCAAGCTCAGGCTGCCTGCAATGGGGGAGGGGCAGGTAGTGAGACAGTCACAGTTGGGGGGGGTGCGCAGGGGCTGCAGGCAGCAGCCAGGCTCCCCCACTGGCCAGGCAGTTGGTATGCTCCAGATCTGAACAGCTCCTTCTAGCATCCTTCATCCTTCAGGTACCAGCCGTCTGGGCAGTGCTTGAGCTGTAGAACCTGGGACCAGCCCTTGACAGACCTCTGAGCTGACCCTCCCCAGTGGCCTTCCCTATATCAGTTGCTTCTGCTGCTGCATCGTATACTTTCAGTGGCAAGTCTCTGGAAGGTGGGGTCCCCATCTCAGGCAGAAGGTTCTGGTACACTCCGCTGACCGGAACCCTACGGGTGCTGCTTGCTGCGTGTGGCCTCAGGTGAGAAGGGACCATCCTGCTTTCCTCCCATTGGGGCTCAAGGGGGCAGGTGGAGGTTCTCTGTGCTCTTCATCAGGGCGGGGCTCTTGCTGGTTGAGGCTTTCAGGGTTGGAAACACACATGGCTCCAAGGGCTGCAAAGCTTAGAAGCCTCTGTATGTTTAATGGTCTTTTGGCCCAGGCCCTGGGGGAGGCTGGGTAGGCTCTCATTCATTCCATCATCGCTCCATTTCCTCAGCTGAGGAAGACAGGAATGGGAAAGGCCACTGGAGAAGGGGGAGAAGGAGTCAAAATATTGGGGCACATAACCCCAGCCTTGTAGAGGTTGGTAGAGTGAGCATGGAGGGTGGCCTTTGGCTGAGATTGTGCTGGGACCCCTAGGGTGCTCTGAGCTGTCTCTCTTTTCTCCAGGATGAAAGGGGAGACCCCTGTGAACAGTACTATGAGTATTGGGCAGGCCCGCAAGATGGTGGAACAGCTTAAGATTGAAGCCAGTTTGTGCCGGATAAAGGTGGGTGGCACCTGGGACCCCAGTCCTTGGTCAGGAGGTGCTGTAGGTTCTTAAGCCTCAGCAGAAGTGATGCTTTCTCCCTTGGCTCCCTGGATCCCGAAAGAAGAGCTGTGCCCAAGCCTCTTGGGGGTGAGGGAACAGAAGACTGTTTCAAGGGGCCCTAGAGATGGCAAAAGAGAACCCATTTGGGGAGGGAGGCTTTGGTCCCTTTCAGGGATTCTGGTCACCAACTGCCCTCTGTGCGCCAGGTGTCCAAGGCAGCAGCAGACCTGATGACTTACTGTGATGCTCATGCCTGTGAGGATCCCCTCATCACCCCTGTGCCCACCTCGGAGAACCCCTTCCGAGAGAAGAAGTTCTTCTGTGCCCTCCTCTGAGCTGCTCTGCCCCTCCTCGCAGCTCCTCACCATTCCCTCTCCTGGACCCTTCCTTAGGTCAGTAATTGTCATGAAGCCCGAGGGCCCCCGCATCCCATGTCTAGCCCTTGGTCGACCCTGTGAGGTTATCTGAAGCACAAGGCCCTCCCTCACCTATCTGTCGACCCCATTTCTTCGTCCACTGTGGCCGGCCCCAAGCATCCCGTGACGAGGGCACCCTTTGCTCCGCCCACACAGGGCCGTCAGACTGCCAGCGTCCTGCCCACTTCCCTCTGTGACCCGCTCAGACAATGAAGAGAGGGCTGGGCGGGGTGCTTGCTCTACGTCTCACCTGAACTATTGGAAGGGGGAAGCCATTTGAAGAATAAAGTCATCCAGAGTCTCAGAGGACAGCTCCTGTGTAAGCCTTCTTGGGGGGAAGGATCACCAGTCAATACAGGCTTGGGGTGGCTGCGGCCGGTGAAAGGCTCGCCCTACCCAGGGTACAGGGCCAGCCTCGGCAGGCTCGGAGGTCGGCGAGGCCCGAGTGCGTCTCCAGTGGAAGGCCTCGATCACAGCAGACAAAGGCTATAGAGAACATGCACTCGCACTCGCACCAGCGCACGTACGCACACACGAGGGTAATAAAGGCTGTGAAAACGAAAACAGACCGAACGGGGTTGGTCTAGGGAGGGGCTCGGGAGGCCAGAGGCAGACAGCAGGAACTCGGTAGCGGAGGGGTGGAGCTTGGCTCCAGTTACGATCAAAGGGGCCGGTTTTACCTCTAAGATGGCCGCGCCCACCGCGGTCCCCTTCCAAGATGGCTGCCGCCATGGGCCCCACGCCAATATGGCGACCCACGTCACTGCGTCTCTCCGTACGGGGCTTCTCAGGCAACCCCATTCTTAAAATGGCGGCCCCAGGCATCCAGAGTTTTCAATATGGTCCCTTCCGTGTTCGTCTAGTCTCAAAATGGCTGCCCTTATCCTCGCGAGCCGATACCCACTCCCACCCACCCCGGAGCCTGGGAGCGGACCCCCCCCCCCGATTCAGCTGAAGGCCACGGGCGGCTACAACCAAGAATCATGGGATAAGGGAACCCCAGCAGGCACGGCGTCGCAGGCGCTGGTCGTGTGGTTCTTGCGGGGAAATCTAGGATTCTAGTTAGCCAAGTCGAGTCTCCCTTTAGAAAGGAAACCTAAATGTATGGTTCGTGCTGGGCGCCGGTCCTCTTGGGGCGCCCTTCCTCGGTCGCCTCCGGGTCTCACTAGCTGCTGCATAAGCCCGAAGTAGTTCAGTTTGGGTTTCCCGGTAGAACAGGGGCTTGGCGTGCCCGCATTTCCCCTTTCTGCGTTTTCCACCAGAAACCAGGTGTTCGGGTCACCCCTTGCAGGGCTCCAGCTTGCAGCCTGACCAAAAGCCTAACTTAAGGTTTAAGTCTCAAGAGCGCCTCCAGGACTGAAGTTTGGAGGTTTGAGTTACGGATGTCTTTCTAGAACACTTCCTTCCAAGGATGAACATAACGTTGGTGGGACCAGGGCCAAGGCAGAGAAGGCAGCAGTCCCAGGATGTCTGCTCCTCATGCATAGTCAACATTCCTCAAATTCAGGGGTACAACCTTCCTGGGAGAAGCCTAGGTAGGATCTTGTTTTGTGCTTGGGTGCATGTAAGGGGGAGGGGGCACTCTAGTAGGAGACTGACATCACCCCGTATTTGCCCACACCTTCACACAGGAAGACAGCAATGGGTGAGAAGTGCAGAGGAAATCCAAGGTATAAAAGGGGTTCTACCAAAACTGACTTGGTCTCCTGTGGATGGGTGTATCTCCACAGACTTTGGAGGGGCCCAGTGAACCAGGGGCAGCTTCTGGAATAGGTTTTTCCAGCTGTTGATTTCCTGGGCCCTAAAGGGTTCCTGGAGATCATCCAATTGCCTCCTAGAGATGGAGAAACCAGGAAAGTAAACTGATTGCCCTCCCAACGTGGGGCCCTAATCCTACACCACCCAGGAGTTCGTTCTTTTTTTTTAAAGACTTATTTATTTATGCATACAAGAACCAGGGTACAGACCAGAGGTGCAGGGGGTGAGGGGATTCACCATAGACAGTGTGGGGAGCAGAACAGGCAGACTGAAATACACTGCTAGGGGAGCTGCGGGTGAGACAGGAGAGGTCTGCTGCGTCATGTGGGTTGCTCCCTGGCCAGCTGGGGATCGAACTCGTGCTGCAATGGCTGCAGACTGCTTCATAGGTTGTGTCTTAACCCCTTGAGCCACCAGGGAGGCCCCCAGGAGTCCCTTCTTGGTGTTTGTGAAGACTCCTGAAAGGATCAAGTCTGCTTTAATCCCTGCATCCTGAGGCTGTCTGGCACTGCCAGGACTCACACCCTAATGAATTAACTGCACTGTATTTGTGCTTGAGTGGCAGGGGATAGCAGGCACCAGGGACCCTTCTTTTCTACTGCATCACAGTGTTGGGCAAATCTCAGGGAATTAAGTGAAAACTTACACAATAACTTAAGATTTAGTTATAAAAAAAACCCTTAGTGCTCAATGAAGTACTTTTGGTATTTATTCTTGGTATTTTCCTGCACACTCAATTTTTCACTCTCATCTGATTAGAGGAGCTCTAGTTGGAGGGGGGAAGGGGGCTCAGAAGTTACCAGAGACAAGGTGTGAGCTATAACGTTAAAAATGATTCCTGCGCTCTACCACCAAGTGACTTTAAGTGTTCTAGAGACTGGACAGACACTGAGACAAGGATAGCCTTCAGGATACAAAGCTGTCTCTGGGGCCTCAGTCTGTCATGTAGAGCTGAGTGGTATCTAGACATATTCTCTCTTCCAAAACACTGGATGCCACGAGCCTGTGGCAACCCATCCTTAACAAGTCCCTGGCCATTTCTTACAAGTCGTAATGATCAGCTAGGTGCCAGAAATTCAAAGTGCTTCTGTTAAAGTTCCCATCTCATTCTCTAAATTCACTAGAAAAGTTTTCAAAAAAATTTAATCTTCTGTTAAATGAGTAGGCTTTTCCTCTCAGGGGTTAATTTCTCATGAAGAAGTCTATTGGCTCCTAAGTGGAAACGTACATTGATGTTTAAGCATGCAATGGGTTTCAGCATAGGCCACACACACAGGTCATGAGTAGTGCTCATTGATGTCCGTCTACCCCAATGGGTCAAGCTCTTAGCATAAGCAGGCACTGCTTAGCGTAAGTAGGCCAACAGCCCTAGAGTGAAGGCATAGGTGGCTCCCCAGTGAAGGCATGGCAGACTAGGTAGGGAAGAAGCACCATGTACCAGGAAAGCCATCCTTATTTGGTCCCAGTGCAATTCAAGAAAGCAGCATCAGAAATCAATCAAGTTGATTCCAGAACTGAAGTATCCAGAGGGGCAGGGGTGAGAACAAAGAAGGAAGGGGGCACAGCGGACCGCGATGAACTGGTGATGGGTGTACTCTGGTGGCGATATCTGAAGGGGGGAGTCTATACTTCAAACAACCCAACAATGTAAGCCAATGTTACCTCAATTGAAAAAAATAAATATCAATCCCCCCATGACGCACTCCATCCTCCGCCCCCAGTCAGTGCAGCCACAGGAAAGAGGGTGAATTCAATCCAAATGGTTATTTATTCTAAAACTGGAAGCTACTGTGCCTACATTTTTGCCAGAATGTTGTAATGAGAACAGGGGAGGAAAAAGTTACAGATGTAAACAATGACACAGTTACATTTTTTAAAATGGTAAAACCCTTTTTTACTGGCCACTTCCAAGAATGCTTTACAGGTTGTGCAAGAACATTTACAGGCTCCATGTGGTGTTTGTTTTTCTCACAAGCTTTTCCATCTACAACAACTACAACAGACGTCTGATAAAACACTAAACAAGTCTTCTAAGGAAACAAGGCCAGGGATCCCTCCTGTTCATCCACATTTCCCTCTTAATATTGTTTTTTCATAATAAAGAGACAAATATAACCCAGACATCCACTGTTGTTGCCAGTGATCTCTTGGACTAAACCAACAAAGATGTGGCAGTTTCACTGTCCACCCACCTGGAAAAACAGCTTTTAAAAAAGGGTGACTTTCTGGTGTCAAAAATTAACAGCAAGTACTTCCCTAACCCTCCCTCCCACCAAAAAAACCCTCGTGGCTGAAGCTTTGCCCACCTGGCCCTGAGGGCCCTAGCATCCCCAAACCATGTCGTGGACTGTAAAAAGGTACTCGCTGCTAGAAGACTAAACATTGGAAAAGGTGGCAGCTTCTGCCCCAAGTTCCTTTTCTAATACAGCATATTCTCGCCCTAAGGGAATTGCTTTGGGCTCCAGTTTTTACCTCTTTACCTTGACATTACGACCAAAACTTTCTCACCCTTCCTTAGTAATAAAGTTAGCAGGTTTCAGAAAAGGTCATGCAATCATTTTACTGCCACACACAAATCCATCTGACAGCACCACAGGAGCGCAGGTGCTGAGAGGGAGGATGGTGTGACGAGCAAGCCAATGTGTGTCCTGCTAGTCCCCTCATTCCAGCCTTGGGGTCAGAGGTACTTGTGGAGCAGAAGAATGTGTCACAGACAGGGGGGACCAGAGGGCCAGAACGAGGGCCTGTGCACGAAGAGCAGGGCGGCGTGGCAGTTATGGTGGGGAGGGCGGGGGAGAGCAAACCTCAGCACAGAACTTTCAACAGAGAACTGCCCAGGTGAGGACATGAAGCGAAGCGTTTCCTAGCACAGCCCAGGGTTCCCCTCGCTGGGAAGTGCCGAGATGTGTGGTGCCTGCTGAGTAAGCGCTTGGCTGACACGATGCTGAGCAGTAACAAGAACTAAAACTGAAGCTAAATATTCAAAGAGCATTCCCATAGCCCACCTGCATTCTCGAGCCCAGCGACTAGAAGCGGCTGGCCAAGAACCGGGAGGGTGTTGGTAAAGTTACAAACAAAAAATTTCCCAAATGAAGTCTCTTGGCTAGAGGCCTCTCTGGGGACACACAGGGAAAGCACCCCAGGAGCAACCCTGGTCTTAGGACGTCAGGAAGGGTGCTCCCTTCATGCACACGCTACTCTCGCTCACACTCACGCTCTCCCCAAATTTCAGCAGCCCCACTGAGCTGCCACCCACCCCCCACCCTCCCCTTTCTAGTTACTCTCTACCTGTGTATCAAAAAAACCAGCAGGGCATGCGCCCTCCACACTGTATAAAAGAGTCGCTGTTCTCAGCACCTGGGCCGGAAGCCACGCCACAGGATTCATTTAGACACGCAGCCTGCCGTAGCGAGGAGTCCCGCTGCGCTTCTATGTGAGCTGAAACCCTGAGAATCGTTCCTTCTCTCAACTAGAAGAGGACAGATACTCTAACAGAGATGATTCCAGAGACATCCCACCCGTCTCAACCTTGGAAGACAGAGCAGAGACTGGCAAACCACACTCTTCAAGCTGAGGGCTGCAACCCCACTCTCCCCCAAGGTTTTGTGGAAATTAAGTAGAGGGCGCCAGCTAGCCTGCTCTGCAATCAGAGCAGTCGCCGTGCCTCCTTGGCCTGGGAATCCTATATAATAGAACCACCCAACTGGTAGACTCCATGCCTCAGGCACAGGAAAGCAGAGATAGGGACACTTTGGCCTCCCAGCCCACCGGACCAGATATCCCAAGAGGGAAAGGTCGGTAAAGAAAATACAAACGGTTAGTTGGTGCAAGTGATTGATAAGAGCCAATCGTTTATTTTCACTGCCCCAGTCATCACAAGCTGTCCCTCTGTTCCCCGCTCCTGCCTGCTCCTGCCCGCC